TAACTAAATCTGAAAAATTCAAAGAGGAAAGAAATATTATTGAGGAGAAATTAGAAAATTGAAATATGAAATCGTGATTTATGAAATAATGAAGCATTTATGATTTAAAGGGTATCAAAATTTACAAAAGAAAAGAGCTTAATATTTATATGTTTACTTTATTAAACATTTCTTTCATGTGAGTTGTTTGATTTGTTTTCTTTTCTCTGCTAATACTTTAGACTAATACTATAGACAATACAATTTTCCTGTTTCAGTTATTAAGTTCGATTGTTCAAGTCCTGTAATTGCTGTGTCGAGAATTCCAATAACTTGTCAATCAAAATTTTTTCTCGTTCAGTAACCGTCTCTGTTACTTTCTTCACTATCGGTAGCTGTATTTTCTGGATTTAGAACCATACTACAGATTTCGCCCTCCGTTCATTGATTGATGATTGGGCATTGTCATCGCAATGAAAAAACTTCTGTTTAACTTAACTTCGCTAAATTCTGCTGCCTGGTGCGGCCATTCGAGCTCTGGCGCTGGTTCTGGCTTTTATGTGAATAACAAATCAGTTATTCTTAATTCAAATAGCAGTAAATATATATCGTTTGTCCTATGAGTATCATTAACAAAAATCTATTTTTAGCATAAGGAAAGAAATTTCTGCTAAATCTCCCCTTGTCAACATTTTAGCGCATTAAACTTAAATCTGTAATCGGATAATACTCTATTATTTGGCGTCGCTGCATGATTCATCACTCAAGTTGTCATCCGTTGATAAACCATGCGGTGATGAAAGCAAAATACAATAAATAATGGATTCGCGATTTCGGCATCAAGGATATAAATATTAGTTGGTGTAAAATTAACAAATGTTTCGGTTTGAGATTATGCCAAGCAGATACGCAGCTATGGAATCAAGTTACTAATCACACAAATTTATGCTAAAATAATTATTTCTTCAATAATGAGATATTTTATTTAGCGCCAAACTGAGATTAAGAATCGGGCTTTCTGGCGGTATGTTTTTTTATGATGAGGAAAAAAATCTAATGCGCATGCCTAAAGCATACCCCTTCCCTTCAAAAAAGCCCTAAAAAATTGGTTGGTGGTGGCTTTGAGGTCCGGATTTTAGATCATTCCAGATATTGCATGTCCAGATCTCGGACATGCAATAGTCAAAACTTAACTTACCAGTATGGATTCACTCTTTTAAAATAATTCTACTTTAATTAAACTTAGGAGATAATATAATCAATTAATCAATATTGCTTACACCTTAATGTGTCATTCTGTGCGGACACGTCGGGAAATTGGAACAGAGAATTGAGACTATTAAAATTTCCAAGACACTGTCTAAATTTAAAAAAAAATTTTTAGCGAAAAAGTTTCAATTGTCTGTTTCGGCGAAACGTGTAATGGGGTTTAGCTTGATTCGACGTTCAAATAAATGAAATTTCCCTTGAAAAGCCAGTTTGGAGGTCAAATTGGGCTAATTTACCATTTTCCGCTTACTTTTTATCTGTTTCTGTTTTTTTAATGTTTTACATGTCTAATGGTTTGATTTTCATATGTATTAATTTTTTTAAAACGTGTTGAACCTTTTGGAGCAGCAGCTCTTGGTAACTTTTAGGCGAGCTTACTACAATTTTTATATTTTACTTATTTTGCAGCATATTGCGCAAGATGTTTTCTAGACCAAAATTGTTTTTTTTTTTTTTTTAAATTATAATTACTACTTTGCTTGATATATTATATATATAGTAAAAAATGTGTATTTTCACTATTCAAGTATTCACTGTGACAAGTAATCTTATCTTGTCACATGAACAGGCCTCTGTGGAAAGGGGCTTCTCTGTAAATAAAGCAATTGAAATTGAAAATTTAAGTGACTCATCATACATTTTTCAATGCACAGTATTTGATTACATAAAATTTTCTGGAGGTGTTCTTAATATCGAAATTAATAAAGAAATGAGATCAGCAGCAGCTTCTGCAAGAAGTGGAGTTCGTTATTTAAACGTTCAGTATTTAGAAGAACAAAAATCTTTAACTAAATCTGAAAATTCAAAGAGGAAAAGAAATGTTATTGAGGAAGAAATTGATTATATGAAGCAAAAGAAAAAATTTCTTCAAAGGGACATTAAAGATGTTAATGAAGAAGTAGATGCTTTAGCGATGAAGCTGAGACCATAGGAACATTGATTTGTTTATGAAAGCAATGAACTTAAAAGAATAGTTTTTAAAGAAAAGGAAATAGACATAAATAAATTAGATGTTAAAATAGCTGAAAAGATTTTAGGTTTAAAAAAGCACAAATGTTTTGTATCTTTTATTGTACAGTTTTATTATTCTAGTATCTTTCAAAAAACCAAGGAAATAAGTTGTATGTTTACAAATCAGTTATTTTAATCTGCAAAAATATTATTACATTGTGATTATAATAGTAGTTGACTTTTGTTTAAATAAATATCATAAGTTAAATAATAATCATGTAAATCTCTAAAATAGTGACTGTTATTAGTGTAAAATACACTTTACATGTTTTCAAGAAAGTATATCCCTAATTTAATGTTAAACTTGTAGGGAGTTAGTTTAATTTTCAAAATTGTTTTATGGTAAGTATTAAATTGAATTTAATAATAGTGCATAATACACACATCTGTTAGTTTCTTAAAGTGAAATTACAAGCATGAAGTCAGTTGTATGGATAATTGCTTTATTCTATTCATTTTTTTTTGTTTGCTGATAGGTCCTTAATTTTTTCTTTGATGGTCCTTAAAAGTCCTTAATTTTCATGTAAGGAAATGTGTACGAACCCTGACTGATGATCTATAATCCGGAATCGCCGAAGTCCCGACGAGTCTCGATTAAAGACTTTTGACTGTATACATATTTTGATTGGTTTTGACTCGCAGCCAAAAAGATTGTCGACGCATGGTCTAGACTCTAGAGATGCAGTATCATAGATAACAAACAAACAAAAAAACAGTTCTGAATGTGACAGTGCTCAAAGTCTATGTAAGTTTGCTGCCACACTTTCTTACTGTGAGTGAAATAATAGAAAATATTAAAAAAGGCTTGCTGGAAGTCCATGATTATAAATTATGTGCCAGAGATAACCTCAATACTTTTGAAATCATTTTTTGCCAATTTAGGTGTTCATAATTCAAGACATCATTTGGCATCCAAGCTGTTTTTTTGTTCAGGTAATGTTTGTCATGAAGATAATATTACTTAATGCATTTACTATTCTTGGTTTTGCTGTACTTTTATATCTGTGAGATGGAAGTAATTTCCAAAATTATATTAATTTGCTTTAAGTGTTTGTTTAACAAAGTTAACAAGAACTGAGGTATTTAAAATCAGTATTTAGTTTAGCCTCATTTGAGTGATGTTCTGTGCATTTACTATTCTTGGTTTTGTTGTGCTTTATATCTGTGAGATGGAAGTAATTTCCAAAATTATATTAATTTTCTTTAAGTGTTTGTTTAACAAAATTAACAAGAACTGCTGTATTTGAAATCAGTATTTAGTGTAGCCTCATTTGAGTGATGTTCTGTTGTCTCCCAGAGCTGTTAAATAAAGTTACATTTCTATACTTTCAAATTTTTTAGAAATAATATTCTTTAAATTTAAGACATTTAATTTGACTTAGATGTTGGTTAATTCATTATGGCAGAGGAGGAGAGGCCTTGAGAGGCATATTTTTATTTAACCGCTTGCCTGATTATACCAAGTTATCTCAGGTTCATATATATTGATGTTAATTATTATCCCGAGAAAACTCGGGCGAAGCAGAATTTGTTAGTACATCGTTTATCGCGGTTTTATTCGGTCTGGAGGAAATGAAAGGAAATATTCAGCTTTGATTGGCAATTTGCCAAATTTTGTTGGTTGCGCTATTCTTTTGGAGGGATTGGTCACATGTTTCCCTATTGTATAGTATACGTTGGCTTGTGGATTAGTAATGTATAAAGAAGGATGCATGCGTTGAAAAAAAATAAAATAAAGGCAATGATGCAAGATAGCGAAAGCGATGATTTTTCAAATAGTGATTATGAAGAGGTGGGGGGGGGAAACCACAACAACAACAACAACAAAAAAAAAAAATAAATAAAATCCAACGAGACAGTGTACTCTGTGCTCCCGTGAAAAAGATTCCAGCGGTAAGCCAGTAGCAAAAGAGACCAGATACCAGTGTAGAATGTCAGGTATCACTCTGTGTTGTCCCTTGTTTCAAAAACTATCATACAAAGATTAATATTTCATTTTTTTCCGTTTGCCTGAGATAACTCGGGATAGTAAACTAATATTAAAAATAAATGCTTTTACACCTTCAAAATATTAAAAATTCAACTTAAAAACCTACATACTTTGATTTATTTCGTTTTGTTGTATTTAATAATAAAATAAAAAAAATGTGATAATTTTTTGCAATTTTTTTCAAAAAAATTTGTAAGGGAAACGGTTAATATTTATAGGGGAAGTAGTTTGTATTCATGTAACACATTTGGAAAAGAATGGAAATGTCAAGAAGCTAATCTGTTTTCTAAGTACCAAACATGGCACAAAATATAGGTATTCCTTAGTGGTATCTTTATATCTATTAGTAAGTTCTACTGGATTCAACTAATATTTCATTTTGAATATTTTAAATTAGCAATGTTTCAGTGTTTGCGTTGCTTATTGTCATGAATAATTAGCATTCCTTTCAAAACAAAGTATACAGGTAATGATATAACTGATGAATTTTTCAAATCTTTAACAAATGTTCTAAATGTAATGTCTTGAAAATGACCTTAATTGCAGTGCACTTATTGACATCTAACTGAAAAATCAGATTTAACCAAATATTATTGAACATATCTTTGATTCATAATGAATATGACTGAATAGTTTTGTAATTTGGAGTGCTTAGTTCTAATACTTCGATGTTTCCCCTCTTTTTTTTTTTTTTTTTTTTTTTTTTTTCTCGCTATGCAGCATTGATCAAGATTTTGATAATTATTTTCAGACCTATGAACTGAGACAGCTTCTAGTCACCATTTTTGTTTGTATATGGGGTTTGAGACTGTCTGGATTTCTCCTGTACCGAATAATCAAAATTGGACGAGACAAGAGATTTGATGATCGCCGAAGCAATGTGATTCGCTTTGCAGTTTTCTGGACATTCCAGGTAACAATGGGATTATTTATTCCATAGCATGCCTTATTTATAATATACTTTTGATAACTTTAGAAGTTATAGAATATAACTTAAGATATAATATTTAACTGTTCAGTAAAGTGACACATGATAATTATTGTTTTGAACTTGTAGTGAACCTCGCAAAGATAAGATTCTAACATTGCAGAAGCTATAACTTGTCCAGTAATGCTGCCGCTTGGCAGTACAAGAGTCGTAACTTTACGACCAGTGTCGAGATTTTAGTGATTTGCACTGTGTTTGTTATCTTGAATGCAAACAATGACTCTTTTGCTTTTTGGATATCATCTTCAACTATAGTGAATCAGATTAAATTAAGAGAGCATGACTTATTCAGTCTGCATTTCAGAACACTTCAGAACTTTCTTAACTTCTTGACTAGAGTGAATCTTGTTAGCAGTTAATGAGGACAGTACTTAATAGAACTTTTCATAAACTTAAAGTAAATATGTTTTAATTTTATATGTAGTAAGATTCATGTAACATAACCAAACACAAACAGTCAGTTACCAATCCTTACAGGGAATTGTCCCATCAGCACAGCTCACCATCATCATCCCAACCATATTTTAGTGCTTCCTGATTATCTGCAGGCCTCTTCTTTTGTGCATATTGCTGGTTTTATATATCAAATCACCCTAGAACTTTCATTCCTCTCTCCATCACAACTTTGATAAAATGCTCATCATTGATTATAGAAGGTGAAATAACTGAAACATGTGTTTGGTATATTATGACCTATTCAGGCTATGAGCCATAAATTTTACCATCTATCTATCCACATCTTCCTCTGAAAAGCTGCCATTTTTTTAATAAAATTAAAAAGCAAGAAACACTTGTAATCTATTTTTCTATAATTTGAACTTCCATCCTATTCATGGGGGGCACTTCAGGGAGACAATATTGTATGTACTCTATGCCAAAATTGGCTAAACAATTGACCGGGCCATCAACTCGGTATATGCAGCCATAAGGCTTGATGGCATGCGAACTAATCGCGCTCGAGTAGAAAGTTTGTTAACTTCATCAGTGCTGGTTAAAAGACCTCTTTAAAGAAATCCTTATGTAACCTTTTTTTTTGTGTGTGTGCTATTTTCACTTAAAAAAAAAAAAAAAAAAAAAATATTGCACAAATTTGACAATGCTTATGCTGTTGTTCTGCACATGTACACAGAGATCTTTTTTCACTTGCGTCAGAGAATTGAACAAATTCAGCATCATGCACACATTTTGATCCATAAAATTAAATCATTTAAGAAGGACAACTTCATTGAATGTGAATTTTTCCATTCTCTAATGCTGTGGGAAATGTCATCTTTCTGAAAATTGTAACACTTTTTTCCTCATTAACCAGCAAACTCCACAATCCCGTTAGTTTTCTTATGAGAAAAGCAGAATGTGCTCAATACTAACGAGGAAAATGACCGTCGAATTTAAAGGTGAAAATTGTTATGTCGTGAATTTTAATTATTAATATGTGTTTTAAGTTATTATTCTAATATTTTTATTTGTGTTCATGTGTATTTTAATCTGGAAAAAAGTACTCTTAAGCTCTTAAGGTTTTACTTAACTCGTTATTCTTGAGTAGGAATTGTAACAAAGACGAGAGATGGTTGCAAGGAAACACATCTGGTTTATTGGGTTATAGCCTTTTTACTAACAATGGAGACAGTAGGGGGTTGTGTTGTCGCCTGTTACTAATGGTGTTTGAAGCGAAAATCGTCTTCCTGTCGCTTTGTTAAAGTTGCAGTTTTGCTTACTTCAAGACAGGGGGGGTGTACTAAGTTTAGGTAATTGGATTCTCGTAAAGCTTAGTTTTGCTTGTTAGTTGGGGGGTCCATTTTTTGTTTCTCATGTTGTGTGTACAGATGTTTTCCGGACTGCATTGTCAGATTTCCTGGTGTTTGATTCGTCATGGGTGTGTCATTTTCTCAGTTTAGATGACGTAAAATTCCGGCATTGGTAAGATTTAATTTTATGATTTTTGAAAGCCTATGAACTCACAGAGGCGGAGAAACCGAGATTTCCTGGGTGCTTGCACCAGGCTAGAGTGCATTCTGATTCTGATTTTCAAGAAGCGTAAAAGGAGAAAAAGTGGGGGCTTGACCCTTCGGTTCTTGCTCTCACGAGCCGTGTGAACCAGCGGGTATGATTTTCTCTAGGAGTTTAGCTGGCGAGAATTTGTGTTGGCATAAGGCGTAGAGCTCAGCAGAAAATTTCGATTCTCTTGTTCCGAGAATTGTACTGCAGATTCTCTTGGTGATCCTGCTATCCTGATGCGGTGTTCCTGTTTTTACCGACTTTGACTTCCTAATTAGATTTTGTTCCAAAGGTGCTCTACGTTTTTTCGTGGGTTTCGAGGCTTCCAGAATGAAAGAGACTCGTGTAGGATCCGTCTAAGGTGTGCGATGCTGTTTATTCTGCCTGTGTCAGCTGCGTCGATTTTTTTTTTTTCATCCTTCCGTGCTCTGGAATTTATTTATTGTAAGGGCAGCTTCTGTGGTGTTTCAACCAAGTCATCTTTAAAATTCGCAAGAAATGTCTATCTCCATTAACGAGGGTCTTGTGAATAAAGGACAGCAGGAATAACGTGGTGCTCAAGTAAACTTTGGATGCTGGACGATCTGTAGAGCAGTCAAACCGCCTTATTAATCAGTATACGAAGGTATTCCCGATTATTGGTAGTGTTGCGGTATGGACTTCACTCCGTGAGTGATTTTTTTTTTTTTAATTTGTTTTACTTTAATAATTTTCATAATACTCAAGCAAGAGTCGTCATTTTAATGTTTGTGAAATTTGAGCAATTACTTAAATTAATTAATCGATGTGGAAATTATCAGTGTTCTTAAAGGGAATAAATACTTAAAGTTAGAAAAGTTAAATGGTGTAGTTATATTAATATACTTGTGAACGAAATGATTTGAAGATTTAAGTAGTGAAAAGTTATTTAAATATACCTGTAAACGAATAATTAGATAATTGGTACAACCACCTAAATTGTGAGTTATGTAATGTTAAAAAAAAATTAGTACACTAACATGAGTGTAAGATTTAAAATGATATATATGTTAATTTACATCTTAAGGTTAATTTGTAGGGGACTGATCAGTTTACCGAGTTGTCATATGTTTGAATATTCTAGAAATTAATAAATATGTTTGATATATATTTTATGTTTTATTTATTTAATTTAGTGTATAATTTACTGTGGTCTGTTATGTCCCTCCATTTGTTTGAGCCGGGAGGCTTTTAAGAAACATGGAGTAATTGAATTGAATTGGGGTTACTGATATTTCCTTTTGCATAGGTTACTCACAACGCAAACCTAAAAGTTAAATTGTACTACCTCTATACGAATATTTATAAGAATGTCGACCTGATATATGAATGTTTTGAATTATTTGATTTTTTTAGTGAGTTTTGGTCCGGCACCACAGTTTCAGTTAAGTTAAAAAGTGTTTAAAACAACAAATTTTCATTATTTAACACAATTCAGGCCCATGGATTGCCACATAAATACATTTTGACGATGTCATGGTTTTCGTGCTTCAGTGACATCGTATGTTGCCATGTGAATACTTTTTAGGGTGGTGCATATAATCATAAAAAGCCCTTAACTTTTATGCAAAAACTATTTTAATTTGACAGAAAAATTTTAAAAAATAATTTTCATGTCTTGAATTGCAGCTTCTTCATCTTATTCATTCTTCTCTTTCCCCCCCCCCTCAGTTCCCTGCATGTGGGTTAAATACAAAGAAAAGTTACTAATTCTGTTTTTCAAATTCTGTTGTTATTCAGCTGGATTAAAATAACTGATGAACTGGGTTAAACATAAAAAAAGTTACTAATTTTGGTTTTCAAATTTTTTTATTATTCATCTGAATGAAAATAACTGATGAATTGGGTTTAAATATAAAGAAAAGTTACTAATTCTGTTTTCCAATTAGGTTGATGAAAATTTTGTTAGTTTCTGATTATCTGTACTTCTTATTTGAATATAAATTAGAAGTACTTTGTTTTGGGCATATTTTAGTGTATACATGCAATAATAACCAATTCATGCATGCACATACCACCTACAGATTTGAGTGAACTTGGAATTATATACTTTATATTTAACCGTTACTTCAATGAACAATAGCCACCAAATGTAAAAATGTAAATATCAGCCAAACTCGTAAAACTTTTTGTTTCCTTTAAAGTGTTTCCTATTATTATTTATGAATAGAACTATGAGCCATAAAAGTAGGCAAGCAAAAAATTTGCCAGTTAGCAAAGTTGGGGATGAATTGCCAACTTTTCAATGGGGGTGCGAGTAATCAGAAAGAACCAGAATTCTTTATATTATTGCAAAGAACAAACATCTTTCATTTTCAATAGACTTAGATCAAATCAGCTAGCAACTGTATTCAGAATAAAAGTCTGAAACCCAAAACAAAATGCTTCATTTCCTATCTGCTTTAAAGAGTATTCTATACATTATACAAAAGTATAAAATTTGTGCATCATAGAAACACATTTCACTGAATAGGGTGCAAGAGCATCAAGATGCATTTTATTACATTAAGACTATGGTTTATTTTCCTGTCTAAAAGTATTATATGAAATTTTGCCATCCCATTTAGTTCTTTTAAATAAGTTTCTGGTGTATACGTAAAATTCAGAAAACTTATCAAAGTTTTGCAGATTGTAGTTTAATGAATAAATAAAAATTCTGTGTGACATTTGGTCAAATTATATCATACTGTTTTAAGTATGGTACAGTACAGTAAGAGCATCTACTAGGGAGAGGAAAAAATAATCAGTTAATCCCAATTTTATGCAGTTATTCGTTAATTGCATCTGCAATGAAATCATTTATGTTAACCTTCCAGCACGTGCACTTAGCAATTTTACATGAGCATGCGCATGTCGTATATTTTATGACATCTGTTATTTTACTGTTTTTGGCATGGAAAACGACAGAAATGAGTGAATATTGATAACAAATTTGTTAAAACATAAAATATTAACTTTATTATTGCAAAAAATACAAATGGTGTCACATTCGAATGATACTAAATTTTTTTTAAACTTATTTGTCAGGTGGAAAGCAGTTATGTACTTCATTATAGAAAATTAAAAATTTATTATTTAATAACTATATTTTAAAATCCAAGCTAGTTTATATTCATCTGTCCTGTATTGTTGATTTATCATCGAATCGAAGACAACTTGTCAGAAATAAAAAATCTCTTGTAGCTTATCACATCTGTTATTTCAATTCTAGTGCCATCACTTGAGAAAGATTCTTTTGCATTTACATGGTGTCCGTTTTTTATTGCTATCATATAACAATCCAAAGTAGGCCATCATTTAAACTCAGTAACATTGCAGTCTCTGTCTCTTGAATATTTTGCTTTTTAGCAAACTTATATATTTATTTGTACATTCCAAAATTTCATCAAGCGTATTTTAACCACTTAGAAGATTTATCCTTACTAACATAGAATCTATCATCATCCTTTTTTCTATATCATTATTATTATCATCATCTGAAATAATATTGTTCAGATTCACTGCTGATATTACTTATCTGTATATTTTCCTTACTCAGATCGCTATTGTTCTCACGTCCAAAGGTTTCCTTGTCTTTTCTTCCCTTCATCAGATAATTCTTGAAGATTGCTAGCAAAATTAGCTGGTTGCACATATTTTTTTTGCCATTAAAACCGATATAAAAATATAGAGTCGAATTGATACAAATTAAAATAATACGCGTCAATAAATAGCAAAAAAATTACAAAATATTTGAGAAAAAAATATTTTCCTAACTTTCACTTACAACCATGCACGTGTTGTAACTTTTACGAAGAAACTGCCACATCGCGCAAAAACCTAATTAAAAACAAAAAAGTTCATATGACTTCCTGTTGGCACATTCCATGATGTGGGGAAAGATTGAAAGGAGGAATAGAAATGATCTCTAGATGTCATGCGATATGCTAAAAACATGCATTAAAAACCGAATTTGTTGTAAATTTTGTGCATGGCACGCATGCTGGAAGGTTAACAAGCTTGTTTAAGATGGAGTTCTTAGGTTTCAAAAATATTTTTGAAGAAATGAAAATCGGATAAAATCAGGATGTCAGAAGAACAGGAGTTTAAGAAATTTAAGCAATCATAAGCAATCATCAATTGTTTATTCTGTAACATTGTAGATTTATTACTATAATATGGATTTATATTTGTGATTGCTTTTTACTGTAGCAAAATTTTATTAATTAAACCTGTTTTGTACAAAAATTTCTTTTGGTACTATTTTTCAAATTTTGCTTATATATGCTGTCCCAGAAGAAAAGAAAGACAATTCAAGATAAATTATGTTTTTAAGTTTAATTTGAGCCATGCATTGCATAAAGATGACTATAAATATATTTCTACAATTCAAAATATAAAAAAAATCAATTGAAATGTTTTAGATATAAATCTTAAAATGTGTGATTGTAGGCAAAAGTGCCTGTCCCTTTCAAGTTTTATGTTAGTGAACCTCTTTGTTTTGCAACCTAATTTATTTTTTTAAATATAGAAGTTAATTATTTTAAATATGAACTACTAGTGTGCTATATGTATGATAAAAATTAATTACAGAAGTTTTTGTCTTTAACAATTCAATAGAAAAATTTGTTTTCCACCTTCATGGCACGGTCCTTTACTTTGAGATTATTTTACCCACAATAAATTTGCCTAAAAGGAGCAGTACGTATTCAGTTACTACAATATATTTTTTTAAATATATAACATATATTTATAAATGTTATATATATATATATATATTATAGTCACTATATGTTTGTTCATATAGATAAATTGTTATATTATATATATATATATATATATTATAGTCATATAGTTGATATTTATTCATATAGATAAACTAGTCAAGCTAAGTTTGACTACTTTGAATATGTACTGCCCGCTTAAGTCAGATTTTCAATTGATTTTTTTTATATTTTAAATTGTAGAAATATATTTATAGTCAATTTTTGAATGCATTGGTCAAATTAAACCTTACATTTTTATCTATCGTGAATTTTTCTTTCTTTTCTTCTGAGACAGCATATGTAAGCAAAATTTGAAGATGGGCCATATGCTAAGTTAAAACACTTCTGATATTAAATGTATATAAACATTAAACAAAATACCACTTATGAGTTTTATTTTTCTTTTTACAGGCTATTTGGGTGTTTACTGTAAGCCTCCCCGTAATTTTTATCAACTCGCCAAGAAAAACTGCTCCAGCTGTTAATCCAACTCCAATGACAACATTAGATATCGTGGGAACTACTATGTTTGTAGTTGGCTTCTTATGTGAATCTATTTCAGATATACAAAAATTTCAGTTCAAGGAAAATCCCTCTACAAAAGGTCGATGGTGTGATGCAGGTATTTGAAAATGCATTGCTTTACATTGCATTATATTAATTACTGTGTAAGATAACTTATTGCAATTAAATTGTTTTATTTAATTTCTGTTATTAAAAAAATACAGACATATTTAGGTCATGTTTAATTTTGAAAAATATGTGTATATGTTAGGCTTGGACACAGGGGCGTAGCTAGAGTTTCCAGCGCCCGGGGAACAACTGAAGAATTTGCGCCCCTTTCTGTGTGCCAAGAATGGAAAACATTCCATTAAAAAATTTCGTAGCATCAGTTTGGCACTCCTTGGATGCTGTGCCCGGGGACAGATGTCCCCCCTTGCCCCACCCTAGCTACGCCACTGCTTGGACAAAATAATTCAAACACTGGCAGAAATATGCATTTTGAATAAAAAAGTAGGAATCTTTTACTTTATACATTATACAGCTAAAATAAATAAAGAAGTAGAGAAATGTAAATCGAGAACAATATTGATATAAATTCTGTAGCACATTCTAACCAGTTCTGATTTATTGAAGGAAGCAACAGGAATCTGAGTCTTAATTTTGTTTTCAAGAATGCCCCATGCAGATAGAGGTAATTCTGGTACTAATGAGTTTGTGGTAGTTTCTCATATCATACACAGACATTTTGTTCCCTCCCCCTTTTTTTGAGTTAGTAGTGGGTTTGAAGTGGTTAACACTGTAGTATTTACCCATTGATATTTTGACATTCAAAAGATTGGATGTTGGAAACAGAGTGTAACTTGATTTCATATGTATGATGGCCATTTGTTTTGGCATGTTTATTTTCATGTGGCCCTACTACTGGTATTAGCCAATGGTGCTATGAAAGTTCAGATAGTGTACTACTAGAAACACAATAGAAGTTGCATTGATGCAAGAAGCTGTGTATCATCCAAAAGTTGCAGTAATACACGCTTCAGTAATTGCTACCAGTCGCATGAAAAGGTAGTGTGTAAGAACCAATGACGTAATGCCCCATAATGTTGGTCCAAATATTTACTGTAAAACAGCTGTAGATTATACATGCAACATGAAATACAGAGGGGCAGGGTGAAAGGTTATGTATGTGTTACACAACTTTGTGTTGCATGGTAGTTTGACACCATCTAAATGTGATGGTTATGCAAATTGAAGGTTCCTTCCCTCGTGAAATGTGACTCATTAGTGAACAACACATCTGTTATGGAAAAGCAATTTGAGATGCATAAATTGCTTGGTTGAAGTGCTTGGACATGGTGCATGTGAAGCGAATGCATTTTGTTTTTTTCTAAGAATTCGAAATATGCTGCCATGGGAAACCTTTACTTTGTATATTATAGCTTGCTTGCTCAAACTTGAGGTTGAGTCTTCATGGCTAGGAGTATTGCCTCGCCGGATAATGTTCTTTATACAGTCGCTTTGGCACTCATTCATTTCACTATACAACCCCGTATGCCAGGAACATATCAACTAATTCTGCATTCGCATAATCACCAGTCCTGCTACCTCTGCATCTATATGTGAAATGACACTTCCATGCAAGAATGCTCTAACACTGTCTACCATGTAATGAAAGTATTTCTAACTCTGCATTGCTATGTGATTCTGACTGTATGGTACACAGTTCTAAAAGTTTATAACGCTGATGGCTGGGAAATCTTTGAAATGAAGAACTTTTTTGAAAGTTTGGGGGGGGGGGTGTATTTTTTGGTGATGTAAATGTTATGTTGATGTGCTAATAGTCTATTAAGAATATGATGGGTTAGCATAGAAAGTTTTATGTGTTATGTAAGTAATATAATTGTGAAAATTTGAAGTAGTTTTTTTCCTCCTTTGCTTTATAGGATTATGGAAGTATTCCCGGCATCCCAATTATTTTGGAGAGATTCTTCTATGGTGGGGTATGTTTGTAATTTCAGTGAATGCTATTCGAGGTGTGGAGTGGGTTGCCATTTTGAGTCCAATTTTTACAACTGCTATCATTCTTTTCCTTAGTGGAATTCCTTTGCTAGAAAGGAATGCTGATGAAAGGTTCAGAAAGTATGTAATTTTTTATTGCTTCATTTTTATTTCACAACAAATTTCCTGTTGCCGGTTTTTATTAATATTGATGAATTAATGCTTAATTTGTTTACTAGTAAATACTTACTTACATAAAATTCGTCCTAATTTTGTCTAAAATAAATATTAATAGTTAAACTTTGCTATATTCTGTACATTAGTAAGGTAAATGTAGACAGGGATTTTAGTATATGGAATTAGACAGATATTTTAGTGTATGGAATAAGATTTAAATTTTATTTTCTTAATAAGTAATTTTTTAGTCCAAAGGGGCAATTTGCCCAGAAAGACTATTAATTTCATTTTGGCATTTTGCGTCAATTCACAATAAGCCTTGTTTCACTTTTCAAATTGTTGCCACCAAATATTATCACCCTGTCTTATATTGAAAGAAAGTAAATAATGAAGAATCTGCATAAATGTATGTATATTTCTTGCATTGTGATAAAACACAGGACCTAGAGCCATCAAAGTTTGAATAACGTAATCTTCCATAGAATATGGGCATGTAGAAGCCCTAATTTGAGTTTGAAATTTGCTTTATTAACGATTTCATATTTTGTAACATTTCAAAGAATTTTTGATTAACAAACTATATCAAAGCGAGCAATGGCAACACCGTATAGGGAGGGGAGAGATAATTTACCTTCAGTGCACCAGATTCTGTATCGGAAATTCTAAAGATATGCTCATTTTAAGATTATTTTGCGATACTACTTTTGAACTGAATTTTATGGTTTGAGTATGTAGAACATGATATTTAATAAATAAAGGTAAAACACTAAACATTAAAGAATACATAATTTAAAATCTGAAACCTTTCAGATTTTATTTATTTACTATTATTTTTTATTTATAAGTAAATTTTTATACTTGTTTTTAATGTTGTGACAAATACAGGATGAATAAGCTTACATTTTCCTAAAAATTAAAGAAATTTAAGAATTACACTTGTCTGCTACTAATTTGTATTTTACTATGCTATTAGTTAATAATATGGTTAATTATAGCTGATGCAATTTAAGTTATTTCTGTTTAAAAGGACTTTTGTTTAATTCCCTCAAAAAAAGTTTAATTTTTTAGTAATGATTTTATGAAACATATGGTTCATATTACATATGGAGACAATTTTAGTATTAGAGTACAAAGTCTTAAATCCGGAATGATCTATAATCCGGACCTCAAAGCTACAAACTTTCTGCACGCGCACAATACTTTTACGCATGTGCATATGCGTTTACGCATGCTCATAAACGTTTACGCATGCACGTTTAATGTATAACAGACGGTATAAGCTAGGCTAAAATTATCTAATTATCTATTTCAGTTAATATTACAGATTGCTCTGTTCCTTAATTTTCTAATTGGATCCGGCTTATTATTTTTTGCAGACTGTTAGAGCAATTTTATAAAAAGTAAGCTTGAACTTTCGATTATGTCAAAAAGAGTTTCCGATTCTGGAGCTGCCAAAGGATCTACAAAGCGAAAGCATGTTTCGATGTCCATCAAACAAAAAGTGGAATTGCTGCAAAAAATGGATAAAGGCATGAAGTGACAGAGAGATTAGTGAAAATGAAAACATTTCCATTGACAAGTTAGTTGGTATTCTCAGCACAGCTATTACAGGACTTGAACAGGGGAACTTTTTAACTGAACAAGAAATTATGTCTGTTTATAGAATTAAAGAGAAAGTATTAGTATATAAAACGAAGCAACTTAAACAACTTACATTTAAAGAAATGTTTAATAAAGTAAACAAATAAATATTAAGCTTTTTTTTTTTTTTTTTTTTTTTTTTTTTTTGTAAATTTTGATATCCTGTTGATCATAATTGCTCTTTATTTCATAAATTACGGTTTCATATTTTTAATTGTATAATTTCTGCATGCCATCTTGCCAGATTTAAATTGATGATCTATAATCCAGAAAAACCCTTAATCTGGAATTGCCGAAGTCCCGACGAGTCCAGATTAAAGACTTTGTACTGTATAAATATTAAAGCAGTCAGTTGAATCTTGCAAGCAGCAAGCAAAATTAATATTAAGGTTCTGTGGTTTTATCCCCTTAGCTACTGATAAATCTCGTATCTGTTGCTACTTATGCAATTTGTATTTTTTAAATGGTATAATTATCTTTATCTATTTATTTAAAGTTAAAATAGAAATTCATTCTTCATTAACAATATCCAGATTGCATAGTGATAGTGATTCTTTAATGCTTACAAAGTTAAATTTTTCACTTTTTAAAGTTGAGTCACACTTAAGTGTTCATTAATTTAGCAATAAAATGAAAAGAAAAAAAAAAAAAAAAAGTTTGATATTCATAGCTATAAAATAGTTGTTGTCTGCAGTAAATATATAATTCTGACTCGCCCCCAAAAAAAATATTTTGTTCATAAAATTTGCAGTGGAAATATTGTGCTGTTTAATAAATCTTTTGAGTTTTTTTTTGGAGCAGTTCTTAAACTTGAGTATGCAACATATGATCGTTATGAAGAACTTTCTGTTGAACTCCGAGGTTTCGTTTGGGGTGTATTATTTTTTATACTAATGTGGGTTTATCATTCATACATTGTTGCTGCATAATTTCAGTAAACAGCAAAAGTTTACTATTTCAAGTAAAGCCTATTTCTGAAATGAATTCTTTCATGAAATAATTAACTCTATAACTAAGGCACTATAATTCTAAGTGTTATTAGCTCTTTAAATGTTTTCACTCTTCGCCTTTAAAACTAACATTACACTGAAAGAATGTGTGTTGGTATTATAATAGAAAACATTGCTAAAATGCACTTACATTTTGTTATTAACATCATAAAAGAAAGAATTACTAATCATGTAAAAGCCTAAAGCTAGAAGATAAAATATCTACAGGAAACCTGTCCCATCATTGATGCTTATCCTTCAATGTCTGTTCTTGACATCTTTCAAAATATTATTTATCCTTATATATTTTGTCAATTACTGTACTGTTTTCTAGTCCAAAGGGGCTTTGTCCCTGAGGGACTATTGTTTCTGTTTTGCGATTTTGCATTGGATCACTCTGAATGTTCGTTTCACTTTTCAAACTGCTGCCACCAAATATTATCGCCCTGTATTATATTTGAAGAAATTAAACAATGAAGAATCTGCATAAATGTATGTATGTTTCTCGCATTGGGATAAAACAACGGTACTTAGAGCCCTTCAGTTTTAAATGATGTAATCCTACTGTGAATATGGACATCTGGAAGCCCAAATTCGGAATTTGTATTATTATCAATTTCATATTTTGTAAAACTTTAACAAATTTTTGCTTAACAAACTCAAGGATTTTAGCAAGCAATGGCAACGTTGTACAGAAAAAACACTATTTTTACCTCCAGCGTGTGAGACTATGTATCAGAAATTCTAAAGATATGCTCATTTTAAAATTATTTTGCAATATTGCTCTTGAACTAAATTTTATAGTTTAAGTGCGAATAACATGATATTTAATAAATAAAGGTAACACACAACACATTAATAAAATGCCCCATTAGACATAATTTAAAATCTGAAACCTTTTGGATTTTTTTAGTCCAAAGGGATTTGAATCCCGAAGGACTATTAGTTTCGTTTTGGCATTTTGCGTCGGACGGATAAATGTCGGTTCACTTTTCAAACTGTTGCATAAAATGTTAGAGTCCTGCATTATATTTGAAGAAATGAAATAATGAAAATCTGCGTAAATGTATGTATATTTCTCACATTGTCATAAAATAACGGTACACAGAGTAATCGAATTTTGAATAACGTAATCCTCCAACGAATATGAGCATGTGGAAGACCAAATTTGAAATTTGTTTTATGATCGATTTCCTATTTTTTAAAACTTTGACGAATTTTTGATTAACAAACTCAAGGATTTCAAAGCGAGCAATGGCAACGTTGTGCAGAGAAAAAAAAAACATTTTTATCTCCAGCGCGTGAGTCTCTGTATCGAAATTCTAAAGATATGCTCGTTTTAAAAACTATTTTGCGATATTGCTGTTGCACTGGATCTTATGGTTTAAGTGCGAGGAACATGATATTTAATAAAGAAAGGTAACAAACAAAATGTTAAAAAACGCCCCTTTAGACATAATTTAAAATCTGAAACATTTCAGATTTTTTTTTTTTTTTATTATTATTATTATTATTATTATATTTTTAATAAAAGAATTTTTCTTTTAAACTTTTTCTACCTTTGCCATTTGCAGTTTTGGGAAGTCTGTCTTGCCGTGACCATGTGCTTGAAAGCCATTTCTTAATAGACTGAGCGGGATGACCCTGGTAATTTATGTATTTTTCATTGTTTCCAAAACGGGAGAGTGGAATGAAACATAGCCTGATTTCTCTTTAGCCACATAGTATTTTATTCTTCTGTAGGATCCTATCAATAATAAATTCATCTTGACGTCTTGGATTTTAAAGAGATCATTTATATGTATTACTAGAATGTTTTTAAAATTTCTATTATTTATACTGAAGTTATGATCTTTATTATTATATAGGTTCATATAATTTGATTGTTTATATCATATCATTTATTGTAATGTTTTCTCTTTTTTTTTTTTCAGCATTGAAGAATATAGAATTTATAAAGCCACCACCAGTCCGCTGATACCTTTGCCGCCCACTGTGTATGCAGACATTCCAACTTTATTTAAAGTTTTATTGTTTTGTGAGTTTCCACTGTATAACTATTTGGATCCAAGTAAAGATGCAACAGAATCAGGTGAAGCTTCTGGTCCAACTCCAACATAACTCTGAAAGCATATAATTCCTATTTAACATTGAATTTTTTTCCCCCTGATCTCTTTTCATCCTTAAACTGTATAGCAAAATATGTTACCGATTCTAGTCTTCAGTAAGTTACAAAAACTAGTATTCATCATACCTGTAGAATGGTGCTACTAGAAACTGCCTTGCAGACAACTCTATCCTTTACTGTTATTAATAGGTTTGTGGTAATGTATTTCATTTACGGATCTGCATTTTATGTAATATTATGCAATAAATTCATATATTTAAAAAGAAAAATGTAAGTGTAAAAAAAATTGTTAAAGTTATTCTTTTGAGAATATTTATCTAGTGCCATAACATATAGAAATAGTCTTCCTAGAATGTTATTTCTTGTTGACTTGTAAGATATATTTGGAAAATATTAGATAGACATTTAGTTATTAAGCACATTCTCATATATTCTTTCACTGTTTCATATTTTTTAAAAAATATATTATTTATGTGTTAGGACATTACACATTTTCTATATCTTGTAGTTAGGTTTAGTTTGAAAAAACGATGCTTGTTCCCAAATGATAAGTTTTAATTTTTGGGGAATTATTTATTATAATTTACTTTCAGCCATTCTTGCATCAAATTATAAACTCTTCACTACTATATCTAAGTACTACGATCATAAGATGATAAACATTATGCTGTTATCAGGTATTAGGTCGTACTTATTTATTGATTTTAATCATAAATTTTCTATTATAGTATCATAGCTTAGAGGGCTATTATGTAAATTAAAACAGTTGTAAATTTATATATATGTGTCATAGATGCCAATAATCAGTATCACAGAATGTCCTGGTTTTTAATTTTTAATCCTTACTTAAGAAAATGTTTCCTAGTAATAAGGGAACTTTATTGAATTATTGAAATTTAATTGTGCAAATTTTCTTATTAAATTTGATTTGATCTGAAATAGATTAATGTACTGTAAACATTTGTAGAATTTCTTATGGAGATTCAATGTCTTTAATATTTAATTTTTTGCATTACATTGATGGCACATTACTAAGTTTTATGTATGCAATAATAAATAAATAAAATTAATCATCAGTGTGCATGTATTAATGATTATAACATGTACACCTTGCACAAAAAAAGGGGGTGGCAAATTTCTGTATCTTCTGTTCTACTGGATTGATTGACAAAATTTAACTTTCTGTTTTCATGTCTCAAAAGCCTGACATACAATATATATAGCATTGTTCTAATATAGATATTTTGATACAAAATCCGACTTTCTCTGAAATTACATGTTTATTGTGTAAAGTTTGAGGAGAAACGTCCTGAGAAATTTTTAAATTTGTCTTGGCGCACTTTTTTCGTTTTGTGCCAGGAATAGTTCACTTGGTGAAATTCTTAATTTATGTTAACCAATTTCGTTTCCCATTCACTGTGCAAGAGCAGAATAAAAGATGCAACATTCATTCTTTCAATTAGTTTTAACAAAGTGCTTAAATCATGTTTGGTGGTATTACCACTTATAACAAATACACCAAATTTCAAAATGTGCCAGCATATAAATTCATGTAGATTTTTGGAAATTATAGATAAAAAATTCGTACATCTACTTTAAGATGATGGCAAAAATTTCATAGTTTTTAATTCAAAATTTCTTTCGGAAAATTTATAAAAACTAACAAAATATACAAATTAAAAAAACAAATCAAGAAACAGATGCAAATTGTATTTGGATTGAACCTAAATTTCAAATTGTGATAGAAGGAATCCAGTAAGTTTAATTAAAAAAAAGAGATATGAATAAATATATACCATATTCAATTAATATTGAGTAGTTAAAGTTTTGACAAGCTAATTTTTTAAAAACTACTTTTGTGATTTTTATAAAACTTGGCACTTTGCCGTAACTTGAATTATAGAATCAAAATATGGAAGAAAGTAGCTTTGTCATTTCAGAAAAATCTGATTTTGTGTCAGAATACCCATGCTAAAAAAATGTCATATATAAATATAATATATATCATGAGTCATGCTTTTGAGACATTAAAAACGCAAATTAAATTTCATCAATTGGCTCAGTAGAACAGGAGATATAGAACTGTCCCATTTTCTTTTTGTAGGGTGTACATCAATTGTAAATTTTATTTGTTTCATTTTTAAAAGTGCTTGAGGAATGAAGAAAGTTTAAAAAATTAGTTAAAAACATACAATTTATAATATCTAATTGATATAATTGTATATTAGAATCATTTTCAATAGTTCAGTAATCTGAATCATTCATTGTAAATATATAAGTCAGTTTGCAGTGGTTTTGCCATGCAGCTTGAAAATATCCCAGAAACTCTTATATTTTGTGCAAGAATCCGTGGGTTTTTTTACGTTTCAAATTTGGCAATTGTGATATATATATATATACATACATGCATATATTTTATGATATATTTCATTCTGAATTCTTGTAGTGATATATTATATCAATATGTAAAAAAAGTTTAATGTGTTTTTAAAGTATGATTTTTCCCCTTTTGCTTGTGCAATTTGTTTTTATGATAATATGTGTGTTGTCAGCGTTTTGATGATTTTTAGCTTCCTAAACAGTTTGGACTGTCTGTGTAAACTTAACAGTTTCAATTTAGTTTGTAATGATTAAATATCTAATTATAATGATTCTTCTAAGATTAAAATGTTTTTACTAACTTCATGATTTACATATTGTTATTCATAATATATATATATGTATCTAAAGAAAGGAGAAAGAAATGAAGGAGGGATTATGAAAACTCTATATAGCACCATTGAAACTGTTGCAAAATTGTTATTGTTGTAGATTGTTTGTCTAAGTTGCTACAACAGTTCAGCTTTATCTTATTCATAACAGGCATCATATTTAAAATTTTAAGTGCAATGTTAACTTTCTGAGTCAATGATTATCATTTGTTTCATAAATATTAACCAAGCTTGTACTGAAATTCCCCCCCCCATATTGTGTTCACTTGCCTATAACGGCATTGGTCACTCCTAAGGCCAGAAGTGGTGGCCATTTTATTATGAAGGCACTTAATAGATGGCCACTGATACCTCCTATGAGGATAACAGACAATTTTACCTTCTCTGGGATTCGAACCTGAGCCTTTCGGTATCGCAGTTGGCTCCCCTAACCACTATACAGTCTGTGTGGTTTTTTTGTACTGAATGTTATTTTATATATTTCATAGACGTAATAGAAATGTTCATATGTGGGAAGTAAATTGGTTTGAAATGTTTTCAGGGATCTTTATTAGTATTTCCTCATAATGCTGGAATATTCTTTTGGGGGGGGAGATAAAGTGATAAGTAGTTTTTGAGCAAATTTTACCAAAATGAGCAAAAGAAAAAGGGAATAACAAAAATAGAAGCACATATAAAATAAACCTCGGTAAGAAACTTAAAAACTGATAAAATATAAATGAAAAAAAAGCAAACACATATTCAGTACAGTATCCGTACAAAGATTATATGACATGTATAAATGCTTGAATAGCTTGCCAGATGAATTCAAAAGCAAAATTTTGAAGTAAAAGCAGAAAAAAAGAAATAAAAAGTGCAAGTTTTTTTTATTGGGGGGGGGAGGTGGTCAGTAGAGTAACCAATTTGTTACTCCTGTTCCTTCCTTTCGTTCCTTTCTTCTTCCTCTTTTTCCTTTCCAAATTCATAATTATGATCTTTAATTTCATATTCTAGGATACTAGTTGCTATTTTATATATATCATACAGTTCTGTAATTTTGTATGAATTCAGTACTTAATTTCGAAAGTCTTTATTTCATTAGAAATAGTAATATACTTAGAGTTTTCTGATAATTTTTTTTTATCAGAAATATTTGCCTTTTTTTTTTTATATCATTTGTATGTATTTGCGCAATTCATTCAGTATTAATGCCATTAAATTTGTAATTAGTTTATGTATACTGTATATAAAGTGATATTTTTAATGATGTGACTTATTTAAAGTGTTATTCTTAAAAACCTTGAGAATTCATTGAAATTACGAGTATCATATATTGCTTTCAATTTTTTTATACCGAAGGCTCTCAATTTTATAAACGTTATAATTTTAGTCATTTAGTTAGTAATAGCTTACATTTATTTAGCTATGAATATTTAATTAAAAAGAGAGGAAAGAAAATGTTTTCTTTCTTTTTACATTAAAAATAGATTTTATGTTAACAAATATAACTAAATAAACATTTGAAAATTAATAATTTTGAAGTGATATGATTGTGAAAATTTTGGTTTTTTACATGTATATTGTATATTTCTCTGCCAAAAAGAGCACGATGCTAATACAGCCATATGATGCAAGATATGGTGAAAGCAGTAGCCTTTCTCTGGTGTGAAATATGTACAAAAAGCATAAATACACACAATTTTCCAAAGTATACATACAAGCACAGAAATTAAAAACAAGAGAAAAGTGTTTTAATGATTAAAATTTAACCTGCAAATTTTAAAATGCTTTTGAATCTAGTGTATATTGTATTTTCACAGTAGGGATTAATATATAACTTATGAATTTCAGTCTTTAGAAATATTTTTGTATTTTATCGAAATATTAACGTACTTTTCATACAACTTAAGTGTAATTTAATTATTTACTATCATAAAAATCATTACAATAAAAAAACCAGAGCAATATTTAGAAATCTATGATGAATTTATACATGAAATACCTATATACACTTTATATTTATCATAGTCTTGCAAAAAGAAGGGAAGTTTATTTGCAGTCAGTATAGATAGGAAAAAGGAAAAAGATGTAGGCAAATGAAGTAAAATTAAGGCTGTTTTGTGTTTTGAAATAAATTAAAATGTTTACTTTTTAAACTCATTTAAAATCTCATTTTTTTAATGAAATTGCAATACTACATAAAGCATGATAATTTTATTTTGCTGAATATGCTCTTTTCTAATTGCATGGCACATGATAATCTTAGAATTATCATTTGCTTGCTAGAATGATAATTCTAGTATCTGCAGCTGTAATGAAGCTTTACGTTTTTTGAATTAAAATTTTATTTGTAGTACTATATGGTAGACATTAAAATTGCCTATTTTTATCAATAATATAAGTTGAAGTGTTTTTTTTTTTTTTTTTTTTTTTTAATTCTCAAATGAAAAATAACTGCAGTGGGTTTCAGTATTGGTTTTTATTTCCACACTCATAAAAGTAGTTTTTTGCCATCAGTATTTATTTGTATTTTTCTCTTGTTAATATTTTCTATTAGCCTTCAATCTTGATATAAAGATCATACTATTAAGTTGCTGAAATTTCTGTTAATAGTTTTATTACTTATGTGAGTTATAAATTTAAACAAACAAAAATGCTTGTTTTTTTTTTTTTTTTTTTTTTTTTTTTTTTTTAAGGGAAAACAAATCCAAGTATATATGTGATAATTTAATGTGTAGGAGGAATCAGGATAAGCCACAAACTTCCAGATGTACCAATTTTCAGAGCATAATTTTATTCCATTATAATTAACATAAAATCATTTTGTAGGCAAGGTATTTATTCAATCATATTTCAATACGGTAATTTTTTGTACTCTGATTTAAAAAGTAAGACATTAATCTAATTCTAAGTAAAAAGAAAATTAAGTAATCTTAGACTGGGAAGCGAAGCTCGAAAGTGTTAGCAAGGTAGAAACTAGGAAAAGGAATGATGTAATTAATTTACAAGTGGTATTTATACCAAAGTAGATGGAATTGTAGAGACAAGCTACGATTGGTTAATTTTATTTTTAGTTACCTTTTTCGATCAGTATTATATAACACGGAAAGATCTCGAATTTGGGAGAACATTTGAATTTAGGGGTGAGCACCAAATCTAGAATAGTTAATTTTGAGGTCGCCAATTAGTTTTAAAGCAGCCATTGTATTTTGTTTTAGGGCCAGAATTTTTGGGTGAAGTTTTATAATTAAAAATATATTGAAATGGCTCATGAGCTAATTCTGGATACAGAAAGGCAAGGATTTTTGTAGAAGAGATTTAAACTGATTTCAATATTCCTTCTCCCTGACGAAGTGGCATTAAAGTTGATTGAATCCCTCTTCTGTTATGTTCATTTTTTGAATTGGGATATTGCTTGTTTGAAAAGTTTTGGTTTTAACATTTTTAAAATTCTTTGTAGCATATATAGGATTGTTTGAAATTTATTAGTTACGAATTTCAGTTTTTGGTCTTTGTGAAAAATTAGTTCTAAATTTCTTACTTTGTTTTTACACATATATGTATTGAACATTACCTGTCTTATGTGTATGTAACATTTCTAATTTTGTTATATAATATAGTTCGTTTTTCCTGTGTGCTGTAAAATTAGATTCTCTTTGAGTGTAAAACATTAAAAAATATATAGTATGCTGGAAGTGCTAATGCAAATTAACTATTGATAGCATAGAGCATGAAACCAAAGTTCTTTTTTCTTTTAGAACAGTCATTTTTTTGTCATACAGGAGTTACCTTTTTTTTTTTTTTTTTACTTTTAGGACAGTCAGTTTTTGTGATACAGGAGAGATCACAAAATAAATATTTTATTCAGTGCTTAAGGGATAACTGATTCTATGTTTGTATGAAATGTATTTGATACTGAGGTCAGACAATGATTTTTCTTGTT